ACTGACTCGCCTCCTATCATCCCAAATTCCATACCAGCTCATTCGCTCCAGCCGTTATTCCTCACATAACCCATAGTGAATCAACACCCAACGAACATGAAATACAGGGTCGTTCCTTCGGATCGCTTATATTAGTCAGTTACAAGCTTTAATTCCTTGTTCATTTCAGTGATTATATCTAAATTGTGCGTATTAAGATACACCCGCCCAAGTTACGCTCCGAATGAATTACTATATGAATGATCTCTGACACGATAATATACAAAAATAGTGCATTCTTTCAAATTGTTATAAAGTAACGTAGGGCAGCATTTATTCCGCAATCACGAGAGGAAATAAAACACATATCACAATTATAAATGCACAGATTAAGCGACTAAGAGAATGTGAACGAGAATATTTATGGTTATGGGAATACAACTAACGATGTGTAAAACAACGCAAAGGATAATTACATAAGGATTAGCGTCGACGGGGCATAACGATAAAATGCCGTTAACGTACGTTGCTAATTTTACTGCAGATGTTTTCCATCAAAATCGAATTGAAACATTTGCCCTAAGGTTTTCTGGTATTCATTAGGCGCCCTTTGTTCGATCAATGATCCCGTGTGGCTTAAAAGTTTTTCAAGGATTTGTGTATTTGTTCATTGTGTGTTTTTTAGGAAAAAGATTCATAGCTTTAGGTAAAAATCCAGAAATGCATAGTGATATAATGCCATCTTTACGATATTTTGGACAAAACGAACTCGTTCTAGCATGGTCCGTTTACCATTGATGTAACCATGGGAACATGAGAAATTATCCTTCAGAATATAAATATATGACAAATTATTCATACTTATAATCATGGTGGCTTCAACACCCTGTATCTCGGAAACGAATCATCCGTTTAGCACATCTGTTTAAATAAAGTTAAGTTTCATATTTTGACTCAGAAAATTTTATCTAGAAGTTTCATTTATATGCGAGAGATTTCCCGCATCTCTCCGAAAACCCATATCCTTTGTGAGTCTGAAGATGAGCATCCACTGTGTCCAGTGTTCGATGCTTTTGCGTGATATCTCATGCAGTTATCTTTGGAGGTAGAACCTTGCGGTTTTAGCGGTCCTGTGCCACTTTTTTTGAAACTCAAGATGGCCTAATCATATTTTGCATGACTATTTCTGTTTATGAGATACAGGGCGATTTTGAAAAGTTATACTTTTTGGACCCCGTCTATAGCTACACAGCCTCTCAGCGAAAATTTCGAATTAAAATCTTATCCCATAGAGAATTTTACGCAGAATCCAGTGGCGTACTCAATTTTTTTTTTGGGGTATGATTTTGGAGATACGACCCAAACTTATGATTTTTCAAATGGAACACCGTGTATTTCATAAGCTCATTGAATTCCTTTTTTTTTTCATTCAAATGATAATATATATTGTATAAAGATAAGATCTTCAAAAATGTTCAAAAATCACTAAAACTTTAAATGTTTATAGTAGACTATGAATGTTTCATATAAAGAAAGTTTCAATTGAAGGAATAGTTCCTTTGATTATTCCATGGAAGGGACAAAACAATACCAACACTAATTAACTAACAAAACGAAAATCAGATACCTGATGATAGCGACAAATATACATATAGTTATAAAAAGTTTTTAATGTAGAATAAGCACCTGATTAAATATTTACTAAAACAATTGATTTTCCAAATTATTCAGTAACTTATTCATTGAATCGTTCAAATTGATGTCCATTTTCTCTCACAAACTTTCTCAATACCTATTTAATGCATTCATAAGCATTCGAAGATGTCTTTGTAATTCCTGTAAAAATGCCTCTGTTGTTCTTCAAGTTTGTTGTGCCGCTCACTGTATTGAGAACACGAAAGTGTATCAATTGTGTATTAGGGAAAATGTACATCAATTTAAACAATGCAATGAAATAGTTACTGAATAATTCTGAAATTCAATTTATTTAGTAAATATTTAATCAGGTGCTTATTCTACATTATTAACTTTTTATAACTATTTATTTGATGCTATCAGGTACCTAAGTTTTGTGTTTAATTAGTGTTGTTATTGTTTTTGTCCTCTTCATATGGATAATTTAAAAGAAATATTTCTTCAATTGGAACGTTTTTATCACTATCAAAATTCAATGTTTTAGTGATTTTTTAGCATTTTTGAAAATTTCACATTCATCATTTTTGAGGGAAAAAATTGAATTCAATTAGATTACGAATACAGGGTGTTCCATTTAAAAAATCATGAGTTTGAGTTGTATCTGCTAAACCATACCACGGAAAATATTTTTTGAGTACGCCACTGAATTGTGCGTAAAATTCTCTATGGGATAAGATTTTGATTTAACATTTTCGCTGAGAAGGGGGTTCAAAAAGTATACATTTTCAAAACCGCCCTCAATCTCATAAACAGAAACAGTTATGCAAGATCTGATTAGGCCATCTTGAGTTTCACAAAAAAATGACATAGGACCGCGAGAACCGCAAGGTTTCATCTCCAAAGATATATAACTGAGATATGACGAAAAAGCATCGAACACTGGACACACTGTACAGGCTGTCCCATTTTCGATCCATCTATGACAAATATACTGAAAAACTAGAATTTTTTTAATTGCATGACTAATACTAAAAATATCGAATGAGTATTATGAATTTTTGAAAAGCGCAAAGTATCATTGTTTGAAATATGAAAAAATATACAGGGTGTTCCATTTAAAAAATCATAACTTTGGGTTATATCTGGATAATTATAGCTCATTTTCAATATATTATCACTTCGCCAGTAGATTTTACGTAAAAAATTGTAGTAGAGGTAATTTTCATATTTTCGAAAAGTTTAAAGATAACTGAGATACAGAGGGGGTCCCAAAATGCAACATATTCAATTTGGCTCTGTATATCAAGAACGAAGCGAAATATGAAAATTATCGGATTGCAGAATCGTGAGTTTTACGAAAAAGAAGTCACTTCGTTCATGAAACCCGCAAATCTATCTTTGAAAATGAGTGAGAATAGTGAGATATCCCTATATCGAAAATAAGACAGCCTATACGTACGTACGAACGTACGTACAAATTAGGCATTCAGTGTACGTCCAAAATGGTGTCCTCAGGACGTTTAGTGGACGTTCCTTGGACGTTCAATCATCAGTTGTAGGCAATTAAACACCCAGTAAAAAATTACATATTTCTTCACATGGAAAGATTAGCCAATGATTGAGGGGCAATACCTGAATCAACGGTTGAACACTCTCCTATATACACTTCACTTCAGGTGATCTACATGTATACTATTTGAGTATTCGTTCAAAAAGTGAATCCTACAATATTCACACCCTGTATTTTATCTACGACTATTGTATAAAATATTCATAACACATGTACTTCCTTGAGCAAAACGATAGCCATTTTTCACACCAGTGAATAATACCGGTGAATAACCATTATTCACTGGTCTAGAATTCCTAAGATACGCGATATAACAACAACAGGTAACTTCGATTTTCAGTTTTCTTAATGTCAAATAAGTTATGATAAAACAGTTGTAGAAAAATTATATATCAAAGACAATAGTAGTCGTGGACATGAACAAAACTGTTTACAGGGACAGGAGCCCTATAAGATGGATTACCGACTTTCGGGCGCGAAATTTCATTATTGAGATCGTTGGATTCAAAGTTTTGGCGAACACGCCAGGACACATCTCGACTGAATATTTCATACAATAGTCGTGAAGTTTACTATTCTACTCGCATATAATGAACTATTATTCACTCGTCAGTTATGCCACTCGCTACCCTCGTGACATAAACTTAACCTAAGTGAATAATAGCCATTATATGCTTGTTGAATAATAGGTATACTATTATCTCTACCAGGCAACAGTTGATAGAATTAAAAATCAGAAAAGAATTAATTCAGAGAACTCTGACTAGAATATTGAATTTTAGCTCTTTCCCTCCACAATTCTTATTCGTTCGAACTTCGAACCATTGTCGATCTAAATGAAAACCTATAGTAGGCGACCTAGTACGCGAGGAGGTACAATAGCTCTTGCCTACTAACTACCCAACATGTTGTCATCTAGAACGACAATGTTCAAACCATTGCCGATCTGAATGAAAACTAGGGTCCCTTGATGTAAATTGACGTTAAAGTCATCTTAACAGGGTACGGACAGATCCTCGTCTCCTCTCACTCTAAAGTGTTTGTGAAACAGTTATATATAGTTCCATCCTTATTCAATTCTGGGGATAAACACTGGATAAACACTAGATTTTTGACATTCGTTGTTTTTTAGGTTATATTGAGGGCACTGATGGCGTATCATGGAATTTCTTACTCAACTATACCAAGATATAGATGAGCAATCCTCTAGTTTTAGAGTTAACTACTCCAGCAAAATCTTTGCGAGTTAGGGAACATATCAATTATTGTACTGATGAAAGCTTAATATATTTCACCTAATATGCCTAGAGACATCCCAATTTCACCAAAAGGGACTGTTCTAAGACTGTATACCAGGGTTGAGTGAATTGACTGAATGAATTCTGGTTTCAAGCTGGTGCAGTAGTTCACTATGAGCTGAATAAGCAGAGCCTTATGATTGAGAAATGGGGGAAACCTCGGTGTGGGTATCTGAACTACTGTGCTCATGTCATGTGTGCTGAATATATTTTCGTAAATTCAACTCGGAGAAGAATTCATGGAATTACTAATATCACACTATGTATAAAACTTCGTCTAGGACGAGAAAAGGCTGAAAAAAGAATTTACTCCACCTTATTTTTCCCTCTCCGTTGAATAACAAGTCATTTTCGAATAATTTATTGATGAAAGTATGAAAGTAACAAAGAAGTAGGTATACGCAGTATATCTTATAGGCACGCTATTTCCACTCTTGCATCCTGCACCCTGTTGAGATGACTTTAATGTCAATTTACATCAAGGGACTCTAATGAAAACCTAGTAGGCGACCTAGTACGCGAGGAGTTCCTAACTAGGTTGTCATCTAGAACGACAATGTTCGAATTATCAAAAATAGTTCACATTCTCAATCATTTGTCAGTCCCTTCATCCATCACAAAATGAACGTCAAATCTAAGTGACTCATCCACTGCTCCAAAAAACCAACGTTCCTCTATGAAAGATCCATGCCAGTAACACCAAAAATTCCCGTAACATTTTCATGATTCCTCTCAAAAATATAATACAAAAGATTGTACCGGCATCGGCAGCTTCAACGAAAAAATCCCTCCAATTATTCTACAGATGCCTGCAAAGACTCCACCATACCCAAGCTTTCAAGATTTCTCTTGGCGTGGTTCCTATTCCGCTTGCCATCACCCCAGCACCACCACAACCTCCCTCCTACAGCAGCGAAGTAACGAGATATGACGTCGAAGAAAACATTGCCCACCTGATGACCCTAGCGAGAGTGTCTCTCGAAAAAGGAGAAGTGGAAAGGGCCGAGGCGATTTTGGAGATGGGTATCAAGATCTGTGAAGAGTACCAATCCTACATGGTCATGCCTTACATGTACGACATATTGGCCTCCATCGCTTTCGCTACTGGAAATCTTGCAAAAGCTGAAGTTTTGTTAGTCCAGGTATGTTAGGATGTTTTATTCTAATTCTATGGAGATCCCTGTACATCTATGCCTGGTAGCGATTTTACTAAATATACAGTACGCTAGCACAAACCACGTCCACCGTAATATCTCATCTTCGAAGTACTTAGGCAAAACTCAGAGACTATTTATCCTTAACGAACTAACATATCCCTGATTGCAATATTTTTGAGGAAGGAAAACCAGAATGGAGTGTAGAAACACATTGATTAATAATATATTTCAAAAGTTAAGTTCTTCAACAAAATTGAATAAAATGAGACTGTTTATCCTAAACGCACTAACCTATTTGACTTCAAATATTTTCTGTAAAAGGAAAACCAGAATGAAGTGAAAAAACATTGGTGAAAAAAAAAGTTGCAAAAAATAGTTCAAATTCACAGCGATTCGAACCATGGACCTTCAGACTGAAAGTCGACAGCGCTAACCAGTAGACCATTTGGGTATATGAATTTACTGCTTACAAGAGATTGACAACGAGAGAGCGTCAGTCGAATTCGTGTCAAAATCATAAAAAGTGTATTATTGCGTTGGAGCACAGTATATTTAGTGCGATGTGCTGACTCCGAGTATATCGGTAATGTTTGGAGATATGACGTATTATGGTGGGCGTGGTTTGTGCTAGCGTGCAGTATATTTAGTAAAATCGCGTCCCGATTTGTAGGTTCCTACTGGTTGTCCCGGGATCTCTGTCGGCTTCAAAATTCGTTCTGGTTTTCATCGAATATACAGTGCATGTGTCTCTTTTCTAATGGAAACACCCCTGTATCTTACGTATTCGTTCACGGAAAAAAAGGAATTGTTGAATCAAGCAAATAAAAGTGTCATATATGCACGACAAAATATAATCTTGGAATGAGTAAATCTATATCTTGTTTCAGAGCGAATTTGAAGTTTGAATTGAGTAAATATGTCTCGCATGAACTCTGGATCTTATTCAATCAAGCACATCCATGAATTGTTTATGAAGATATATTGAATTCGCTCAAACAATCATTTTGTTTGATTCAAAATAACAGAGATATTGATTCAATCAAATATATTCAGTTGATTCAATGAAATATTTGTTTGATTCAAAGAAATATATGGTTCATTCAATGAATTATTTTGTTGAATCAATGGAATATTTGGTTAATTCAATGAACTATTTGGTTAATTCAATGAAATATTTTGTTGATTCATTGAAATATTTCGTTGAATCAAGAGAAACTGTATTTCCATTCGACAAATTGTTTTGTTGAACCAAATTCAGTATTAATTAACTAAACTAAACAAGAAAACTAGTCGACTTCTAGCATAAATCTCCAGTCTTTACTTCTCTTCAGCTGATGCAAAACAATTTCGGGTTGCTAATCATCCTCTAAGTTCGATTTATCCAGCTGATATTTCAAACACGGAGAATCAGACCTCACGTATATAATGAATTCGAGGCAGGTATAGACGAGGCGAAATGATCGCCATCTAGAGGCGAAAATTCAACTTGATTTAGAATGAACAAAATATTCCATTGATATTACATATTTCGTTGCTCTATTCAAGCAACTGATCCGTTCGAAACGAGTTCAGTGCTACATCGGAATAAGAAAACTTGTATGTTGTTTCAATAAAGATATATTCTCATGAAAATGATCATTATTTATTTTCATCAAATCAACAAAATGTTGATAGTTGAATCAACATCGACATTATACTGTTGATTCAATTAGACTACGTTCTTGAGTTTAACAAGCTGCTTCCATGAAATAATCATGTATCTGGTTGATTCAACAAAAAATTGCTCAGTCCAACAAAAATAATTCAAGCAATAATTTGTTGATGCAACAAATCCTTTTCTTTCGTGTTGGATAAGGATCCTGAAATTTTCTGGAGCGAGAGATATACCAAAAATGCACTCTATGATTGAGTGGGTTTATCTTCAGTGATATACACTGCTCGCCAACAGCCATGGAACCACTCCAATTTCCTGAAAATGATATTAGGAGGCAAAATATAGGTTGAAAATCACTTCGGATTCGGAATCAAGACGCCCAATTCACTAACTATTCATATTTTTTCAGAAAATTTCATTTTTATCTCACTTTTCATGGAAACACCCCCGTATCTTACATAATTATCGAGTTAGGATTGTTAAATTTCCGTGAGCTTGAGGAGAAAGATACAGTCAATGACCAATTGAAATTACCATCAGTGATATACACTGCTCGCTAGCAGCCATGGAACTAACTACATGTCCAGAAAATAATATAATCAGACAAGATATAGGTTGAAATCACTGCGGTTTCGAGAAACAGTACTCAAATTCATCCTGAAAAATGTTCAGTTCTGAAATAATGAATTTTGTCTCACTTTCCATTGAAGCACCAGTATCTTTCGAAATTATTGATGTGGAATTCTGAAAGTTTTAGGAGTGAGAAGGAGACCAAAAACCAAGTAGGATCATTTTCAACCCTAACAACACGGGATCTTGCTGGTAGGTACATCCCGCTAAGGTCCTAGAAATGTCCCAATGTTTCAGACTTAGGTACGATATCCCAGAGATGTTCCTCTTGGGACATATCCATCAGATGTTTTCATTGGATGTTCTAGAAACATCCCATTTGATCTTTTTTTTGTAAACAATATCATATGGTTCCATATTCGCTAATGATGATTGATATGATTGAATAGTTCAAACAACTGTGTCATTTGAAACATTGAAGAGTTAGTAAAAAATGGAAATCAAAACTGTATTCGTACTCATATACTTATATCTATACCAAAGACGGCTAATTTCATCGATAACAAATTGAAATATATCTCTCCAGCATATTTATTGCTGAATTTATTTGTTATACGAGCCGATAGATGGCGGTACAACTACGTTGCTAAGAGTTACTAACAGCCGTCGGCCCAGCGCCAACAAATATGAGCCTCAAACAACTGTTATCATCTTCCATTAGTTATTGGACCGCACCGACCTTATATTTTCCGATTCGGATTGTTACTTTACATCTGGAAATAGGTCGTCCATTTTCAGGATTTCAGATTGAAAATAATTCATACCGTGTCATCCATTACTGTCATCAAACAAAAAAACATCGTAGAAGTTTCTTTAAGATGTTCCATATCAAGTACCCTGAATGTCTCTGGTACATCCCGTATCATCCCACAAACATTCTGATGGGATGTTTATAAGACATCGCAAATGCTGACAAGGGTGTTGCCAGCAACATCCCAAGAATGTCCCAAGGAAAATAGGGATTTTCCAGAGATGTTCCTATCCCATATGGATGTTTCTACGACGTCTTACAGATGTTATTGTGTTATTAGGGAATGATATACCGCTCGCCAGCAGCCACAGAACCACCGACATTCCAGGAGGAAACATTTATGAAATCGAAAAATTCACTTAATGGTTGTTCCGAAAGAAGAAGAATTCGCGATAGAAGATAACACGTCGCCCCATCTGCCGGCAACAATTGGAACACTTCTGAGCGGTTTGTTTTGATGCTATGATCAATAAGTACAAACAAAAAACGAATGGGAACCACTGAAAACAAAGTAAACAGGCCGCTTTGACAGCTTTCAAAAACTTCGATAGATGGCGTACGCTTATTTTCTATCGTGAATAGTTAATTCACAGCGACCATTTATCTGATGATAGGTATATCAATGATGGCAGTAATACTTGGTTCAATTTTACATAAAAAAATGTACTTTTTTCAAATTGTCTAGCTCTAACTGTTTTTCCGTTATTCAGAGATTTGGTGGAAAAAAGACAGTCATCAATCATGACATTCACTAACAATGCCAACAATAAACTGAATTTCACAGTGAATGTTCCACTAAAGTTGAAGAAACTTTTGAAATTAAACACTCGGAATCTGCAACCTTTCTATAAAACATGTTGGGTTGAATCTCCATACATTGGGGTTCATAATAAGTTTGCTATTCTTAATGAATCTCCCTGTTTATATACAGGGCTTTTCACGATGAGCGTTAATTAGACGTTTCTGGCAAACCAGATAACGGATCATTTTGAAAATTCAATAGAGGGCATATTCGGACATTCTCTAGCCAACTAAAATATTTTCGACAATGTGGTGTTGCCGCTTCTATTAGAAAGCAGTAGCAACTTTGATTTTTCAAATAGAACACTCTGTATTTTATTGCATTTTTAGATCCTCCCTGAAGAGCTGATTTCATCGATGTATCACACTTGGGGTCTAGCGGAAATGATTACAGAGATATAGGGTGTGAAAAATCGACATTTTTCAACTTTAGGAATTTTTTTTGTCGAAACTATTCATTATTGGTCAAAACGGCTCACATGTCCCTATCTCAACTTTTGATCAACTATCTACTAACATTTAATTGAAACAAATACAGGGTGGTGCAGAATTCAGAATCTTGATCACCCGGTATATGTCCCAATTAAATATCAGTAGATAGTTAATCAAGAGTTGAGATAGGGACATGTGAGCCGTTTTGACCAATGATGAATAGTTTCGACACAAAAAAATCCTAAAGTTGAAAAATGTCGATTTTTCACACCCTATATCTCTGTAATCATTTCCGCTAGACCCCAAGTGTGATACATCGATGAAATCAGCTCTTCAGGGAGGATCTAAAAATGCAATAAAATACAAAGTGTTCTATTTGAAAAATCAAAGTTGCTACTGCTTTCTAATAGAAGCGGCAACACCACATTGTCGAAAATATTTTAGTTGGCTAGAGAATGTCCGAATATGCCCTCTATTGAATTTTCAAAATGATCCGTTGTCTGGTTTGCCAGAAACGTCTAATTAACGCTCATCGTGAAAATCCCTGTATATATGCATACTCCATGAAGCATTATTGAAACGTCAGGTCAATTCTTCAATAAATCATTAATATTATGATTGTAATCATTTCAGATAATAGAGAAAATGGTTCATTTAGGAACACCAGAAGATGACAGTCAAATCATTGATTTCCAACTACGGTTATCCAGAATTTACAGTGCCTACAATAGAGATTTACTAGCCGACATCGGTTTCAAGAATTGTCTCAAACACCAGGAATACAAAATTGAAGATGGGGATACAACAACCAAAACGGGAATGCTGTATGTGAATTGTCTCTTTTGGTACGGACTCCACAAAATCAAGTGTGATGACCACAAATCAGCAAAAAATCTCATCGATTCGGCATACAGCTTCTCCATGAAAATCAAAGGCTTGAGTCCATATCAAGAAATGATAATTCTGTCCACGCTAGGTGAACTGAACACACAACTCGGCGTGTACGACATAGCACTCCAAAATATACACAGTGCAATACTTTTAGGAAGAGGTATTGGGAGTCTGGAACTGCCTAGATTCTATTTGAAACTTGGTGAACTTTACATGAAATTGGGATCACGCAGTACTGCTGAGCAGTGGTTGAAAGAAGCATCGAACCTTGCTGAGCTGTTTAATGATAAAGACGTTGTATTTGAAGCTCAACTAATACTCAATGAAGTTGTGAATAAAAAAGATTAAAGATTTGTCGAAGAGTTATAAGGCAATATGTTTCAATCAACCCTAGCTTATTATAAAATTTTAATGAATTTATAGTCAATGCATTGTCAATAATAGTTATCTAGCTCAGTTCTTTATTATGAAGAATTGAAAATAAAAACACTTTCCACAACTGTTTCCTAATAAATATTTATTCGCAAAATTCATTGAAATCTACCACAATTTTTCCTCTCATATGTCCAGCAGATACTGTCTTGACAGCTTCTGGCAATTCATTGTATTTGAAAACTTTCTGGACAACAGGGCGTATCTGTAAAAGGAAACTGCAGAACTTCTTTTCAAAAGCATACACAGAAAGTTACCTTTTCTTTGAGTATCAAATCATTGATGAATTCGAAACCATTTCTCGATGGTACAAAAAATCCCCATCGGACTGAACTACTATCCTTGAGACGATTTAAGTTTGCTCCCAATAAATCATTGGCACTATGAACTAGTCCTGCCAGCAAACCGTAGTTATCAGTATTCGTCAGTAGAGGTGAATTGAGAGTTATATAACTATCATACTTCCAGCTCTTTGGTATATTCTGATAGCCCATTTTAGCACAATCCAGAATGATGTGATACCTAATGTGAAAAAAGTGTGAGTGTACTCATAGTGGTTATTCATGTGTAAACATTAACATTTGTGATGCAACAGCTCTTAAAATCTATATTTGTCTCTACTATGATTAAAATGCAATTTCAGTGTAGGTATTCTAATTATTTTTTCATATCCTATGACTAAAGCGAATCACAGGCTGAAGATAATGTTCCTCACATTGCAGCTACTTGATTAATTAACAGTTAGAAAACTCTACAGAGCTGAATCAAATTATCTATGCAATTAGATTAGATTTAGAGTGGGGCCTTCGGGCTATCTGCCTCCACACCGCCCTTTTCAGATCTATTGTGTCTGCCCTTAAAATCGTTTAGAGTTATTTGGCTAGCCCCGCCTTCTCTATGAGACCCCATAGGCTAGCTTTCAGATACCCTGTGTAACTTCAGGTTCTTCGTTTTTCCTCTCTCAGCGTAAAGAACCTCTTAGTCTTGACAAGCCCTCACAGTAGCAAAGTATGTGTACTGCTGTTTCCTCCTCTTCCTGGCAGAACCTGCACAGCAGTTCTTCAGTCAGACCTATCGTACTTATGTGAGCAGTCCCACTAGTATTCTAGTTGTACTTCGTTTCTCGCTCAGTAGATATTCTGTGAATGTTGGCGATGGTTTTTAATAAACTCATTTGCCTGTCTCATTCTAGGCGAGTTGTTCCATCATTCTTGAAACTTGGTTTGCATCCAGCACATGATACTGGTCTTTTAAACAGCTTTTGCAATACCACAAAAGGGTTCTGGGCCATTCAGAGCGTTGTTTGCTCCTGCTCGGGCAAGTGAGTCTGCTTCTTCATTGCCCTCGTACCCTGTATGTGCTGGTACCCATGCTAGAGACAGTCTGTTCTGACCGCCCAGTTCATTTAGGGTTTCTGAGCAGTCCCACACTAGCATTGAGTTAACTTGCATTGAGTTAACTGCTTTGATTGCTGCCTGGCTCCGAATAGATTGTAATGGTTTTCCCTTTAAACTCTTGCCTAATTGCCCAATTCTTTTACGCACTGATATATTGCAAGAACTGCTGCCTGAAACACCGTCCCGTATTTGCCCAAGCTTAGGCATTTTTTAAACAAAGTGTCACTGACAAGCTATTGGATTTTTCTGTTAGGCTCCCTGATAGGAAAATTTGTTAAACGCAGTAAAATTTTGGGGCAAATCATCTGATTTGTCCTACTACACTTATATTGAAATAAAACTCATTTTCATTTTATAGAAACGAGTAGAAATCACAAATAATCAAGTAAAATGAATGTACCACCTTCTTGATTAACCTACAGACAGTATTTAAGAAAGTTAATCATTACTTTTTGTGGCATGAATGTGAGTTGAGCATACTAGCGGAGCAAACTTGTAAATTTATCTAGTAGGTAATGTTCTCAAGGTTATATTGATATACTGAAATAACAACCTACATACTTGCTTTCAGATGCCACATCATTTTCATAATCTGGATCTTTATAATCAAATACACAGTCTGCTCCTAAATCATATACAAATGGTACTGCATCAGTAGAACAAGTACCAAGTACCTTGAATAGAGAAAAATGGAAATGATGTATCTGAACTAAGTCTTCAAAACAATGGCTCTTGTATATCTGAATCTTACCACACAATTTTGGGATTTTAGTAATTGGACTGCCGCATTTCCTACTCCCCCAGAAGCACCTAATACTAGGACTCTCAAACCTTCTTTCACTTTGAATAAAAGATTTCCAAATATGAATAATGCACTCCAAGCAGTCATTGCAGAATATACCAAAGAGGCACTCTCAGTGGTAGTTAAATGTTTGGGTTTTGGTAACACCTATAAAGTGAGTAAGGAAAGCATGTAAGTACCATAGTCCATGAGAGTTTTAAATCTAAGCCTAAGAAATGAAAGGGAAGATGAAAACAATTACAAATAATGGTTGGTACATAGTACTCTGATTAGAATGCAAACAGCTCAGCTAAACATTGCTTGTAAGTATGTATGATATTTTGAAATGTATTTTCGTCCTTGTAGAAAAAATTTCAAATTTCACAACCTAAGGGGAAATTGCAATGGTAAAAACCATGGAAATATTATGATACTGGGAGCAGATCATTTGCAATCTTTGTTTGTCTGGGTATGTTACAATATTGATTATAGTGAAAAATTCGGTTTCTCCTGATAGTACCTAACCTAACCACATGGAAATAAGTTGAGAATATTATTCAATAACTATACAAACTCAATCCACATATTGAAGGTTCAACTCCTTGTGTGATGTAATTTTTGTTCATTTGCCTACTATTTTTTTCATCTTGATTTTTCCTCGGATTTTTCCATGTGTTTATGAAATACATAGATCTATTTGTTCAGCTCTATAGTTGAACGTTTTTTTTAACTCTTGGAGCAGAAAGGAAATTCCAAAAGAACATTGTGCATACTTAGGTAGTAGTGAGTGTTCAAATTTAACTTCAGATATCAAAAACTATCTATAAATATTATAAAATATATGCTATTAATAAACTGTTCAACATACATGACAGGCATCTGCCAGAACCATTTCAGCAAAGCTACCCTGCTTGTGCAAAGGTATGAAACCATAAACTTCATCCCCAATTTGTAAATTACTGCCCACATTTTGTCCTTTAGCAACTACAACTCCTGCAAAATCTCTTCCTACAGTGAGAGGTAGTTCCATCTGAGAACATCTTTGGATTTGGAATAGAGTATGGCCATATCCACCTAGAATTTTGTATAGATAGATAAAAGTCTAAATTGAACCACGGAAAATCACATTCTCATAGAGGTTCTTACTCTAAAAAACATGTAATGTAAAAAAAGATGAATTAAAAATATACAGCACATTTTGTCAGGTACATTGGTTACAGCAGCACTTTATATAGTCTCCAGATATTAATTCACTCATGTGCTACACCCCTCAGTAAACTAACTAATCTCTGGACAGTAATGTATCACTTTCAACCTTGTTATGTAATATACTCTGGAATATACTATTATTTCCCTTTCACTTGTGTTTCAGAAATATGCTGTCCTGTTCAGTTTTCTTCAAAGTTAAATCTGAGGTTGGATCTATCTTTTGATGCTTAATTTTGGATGCTAATTATTCTTCTCCAATCTTAGTGAAAAAACTATTGAAACATTCTACAATTTCTTTAGGGTCATTGGTGGATCTATTGTATTAGTGAATGATGATATTTCATATTTCTTATCTTCCCCTCTGTTTATTATTTTGTTGATTGTTTTTCAGGTTTTTTTCATGGTACCATCACATTATTCAAATTTGTTTGTGCAGTATGTATTTTTTTTTCTCGTTTTTTTCATTCTTTATGTTTATTTTAACCTGTTCAATAGCATCATTATATTTGTTGTGAGATGTTTATAATATAAACATCTCAATTTGTTGTTATAGTTAATGTCTGCTCAAAATAACTTATGTGTATGGAAGAGGAAGTCTCTGTTTTGTGCTAGTAAGAATATCTTTGCTAAACCAAGGCTGTGATTAACTTGTTTCAATATTTTTCTTGGATTTTAGCATATTTGATTGGAAACAAGCTTTGAAGCTTTATAATATAATAATAATAATAATAATATTTATTCAAGATACCAATGGAATGAAAATAATAATAATTATACTACAAAAATACATTTTTAGGTATAGAATAAATAGTATTCCAATTTCCGGAAAATGATATTAGGAGTCAAAATAGGTCGAAAATCACTTCAGATTTGGAATCAGGACGCCCAATTTACTAACTATTCAAATTTTTCCTGGAAAATTTTCAGTTCGGAAAAATGAAATTTTGTTGCATTTTTTATGGAAGCACCCCCGTATCTCACGTAATTGACTTTATCTTCGGACTATCTCTTCCTCCGGCAAATTTCAGAACCCTACCTCAATAATTACGTGAGATACGGGGGTGCTTCCATAAAAAATGAGACAAAATTTCATTTTTACGAACTGAAAATTTTCCCGAAAAAATTTGAATAGTTAGTAAATTGGGCGTCCTGATTCCAAATCTGAAGTGATTTTCGACCTATTTTGACTCCTAATAAAATTTTCTGGAAATTGGGGTAGTTTCATGGCTGTTGGCGAGCAGTGTATATCACTGAAGATGACCCCACTTGGTCATAGAGTGCATTTTTGGTATATCTCTCACTCCAGCAAATTTTAGGATCCTTACCCAACGATTACATAAGATACAGGGGTGGTTCCATTAGAAGTGGGTCACACTGTATAATCAATTAAAGTTAGATTTTGCCTAGTGGGATTTATGAAGAAAAAACCATTTGTGTAAATTATATTATGGTAGTTGTCAGAGGTTCTGTCATTTGAGAAGATATTGGTATAAGGTAGAGTAGAGGTACCAAGTGTTCAGCTTTTTAATTTTGTAATGTATTGCTGAGTGTAATGCCAAGGTTTTTTTCATTTTGCTCAAAAACTAATTCATCATCATGATGGCTGATTCCTAATCTGGGAGGAAATAAAATTAAAAGAATCTCACAGGAGTCACAAGGCAGATTCATGCAAGGTTCAATATAATTACTTCCTCATTATATAATAAATCAAAAATGTTGAAAACTCATATTTCATAGAATGCCTGCATGCAATACATCAATACATTTTCATCACATTAGTGCACTAAGAAGTTGACCAACTTTTAACTATTTAAAATTACATCTTAGTTCTAGTGAAAACCACTGATTTGCAAGATCATATCATTGAATGATCATTTTTTCCACAAAACTATTTGTGATTCACCTCAGATATAATATTCAAAATAAATCCATATTCTTAAATAACCTGTAACCATTTGGAAAATCCAACCAAATCACATAACCTGGAATAATTAGTTCATTATGAGCATAAGTTGCATGTACTGGTACCTCAGGGCTAGAGAAAATGTATTTATAATATAGTGAAAATGTAATTAATGAATTTTGCATGTATCTGCCTTCTCAGTACCTACCAGGGATTGACCTGAGGACCCTAGAACAACTATAATAATGATAAAATTGCTGTACCAAAAGCTTGAAGCAAGTTGAAATTATGTATTGGGCATTACACCCCAGATACAGGGGGTATACATCAATACAGTAAAGTCTGCATTGGCTTGGACATTCAGACCTCAGATAAACAGAACCCTAATGTCCCTAACTTTCAGGACTCCAGATAGGTACTTCCTCCTCTTAACAAGATATTGATATTTATTACCTATCATTAGCACATCGATGGGGTTAACAGAAGCAGCAGTTACTCGAACCAAGACACCCCTTGGATTATTAACTATTGGCCTTCTAGCTGAACCAAGTTGAAGCATATCTATACCACCATATTCGTGTATTTGCCAAGATTTTATTTTGAGTTGGTCCTTCATACCGTGGACATGGGAAAAATACCTTCTCACAACATTCATTATTCATTAGTTGAAGTAATTATTGTCTATGATAATATTAAAAAAGGACGATATTCAAAATAAAATAAAACTTATCATTTATCAACAAACATTGAATAGGTTAGGTTAGGAGATTTTCTTCGAGTCGTTATTTTATTCCGTTATTCGTCTAATATTATACCATTATCGCTTATTCTTATTATGGCCTCAATTCATTCAAGTCTTCAACTTCTAATCTTCTTCTTTTTCCTGGCAAATTTCACGATTTGCCCTTATGGGTCATTGTTATAAAATGGAATTGTCGTGTCACGTCACGGTCACGTGTCACATGCCGGGTTCGTGGAGACAGTGTTGCCTCGTTGAAGAACATAATTATCCCTTTTCAATGGAGTTTTTGTGTTGTGATCCACAAAAAAAGGACATTCACTTGATTCTGGGTTGATTCACTTCATTTCGAGGATTCCTTTTCCTCTCTATTCACAAAATTGATACATTTCTATAACAATCATTTTCTTCCACCTGATGCATTAGATTTCGCTCGTTCGGAGTTCGGAGTACATATCTACATAATTCTACATAATATAGAATCTACCACATTAATATTTACTAGAATAAGCGTTTTCATTTGTGTATATCCTTCGATCATGAATCTTACCATATTGATAAACTGATTTATAACTTTATGACCATTAAGCATTCGATTATTTGGATTATGAATTATTCCTTTTTCTTCTGCTTAGGCGGCATTGGCGGCAACATTGGTCACTGGTCAGAGATTACAGATTGTTTATTTGTGGTTGGTGGTATTTCTGTTTCTTATCATAAAAGATATATATTTCATTTGATGTTCTCATTATTTAATGGTTCGAAAGAACAATATAGAAAGTAGAATAACGGACGTGCCCCGGAATTCATATTAAATGTTATATATATCATGATGAATTCAAATTTATTTTGTCTAGAATAAAAGACAATAATATAGTGGCAGAAGCACGGAATTAGAATAGGGGAAACCCCGTTGTTGATATCTCACGTTTTTGGTAAGTTCATAAATTTAGAGATAGTTCGAATGGGACTATATCTCATTTTGCCCAAATTTCGATTTACCCAAATTTCAAATCACCCACCCACCGTCTCCGAATCGTGGCCCGAACAGAGGTCCGAACTAAGTCCGAACATACCCGATTTCCTGAAAGATGCGTTGTCAAAAATTGCTATATTTCCATATTATTTCCGTGGATTCGAAAAATGTTCAAAAATAATAATAATGGAACGGTTATTGTTTGGACTTCTCATCATATTCAAATATGTCGTTGATGGGCATCAGGCCCATAATATTTCGATTCACCCAAATTTAGATTAGCCCAATTTTCGATTCCTTCAAATTTCGAATCACCCCCAAATCTCGAATCACCCCCAAATCTCGAATCACCCCCAAATCTCGAATAACCCCCAAATCTCGAATCACCCCCTAATCTCGAATCACCCCCAAATCTTGAATCTCGATACGACCAAACTTGGATTCGCCCAAATTCCGCGTCACCCAAATTCCGAGTCACCCAAATTCCGAGTCACCCAAATTTCGATATTATTTCGATAGTTGATCGAGATATATATGTATACATTCTAGGATATGAGGGTTTATTTGGTTGTGGACCCACGGCTCACTGCATTACTCTGAATCGACTCAAAGAAATATTGGGATCTTTTCAAAAAAATCGTATTTATAAATAAACATGCTTTTCTTTAATGTCCCCCTCCCTTTTATTTTTCGAACGGTTCAACTGAAAAAATTGAAACTTGGGATAATGAAATTGATTCATAAATACTATATTTTGACGTAAAATTGACAAATGAAAGTTTCAAGATAACGACTGGGCGCCATTGGTAAAAAAATTAATGGAAAGAGTGTTTTGTGATACATCATTTTCAAGGCTTCTGGCGATTACTTCACAACCCTAGAATATGAAGTCAGTATCTTCCTACCTACTACAAAATGACGGAACATTCAATAATTGCCTATGTTCAAAAAAGCACTTACCAGTCTGAATTTGTTTATAGAATTGGGTGATAACTACGCGGCTAAAGAAAGGAGGGTCATTCAAAGTGAATCGCACTGTATATACACAGGTAACTACATACCTATAAAATTATTTGGACTTTCATATATGATTTGAATGCATAATTTTTATTTTTTTTTTTTTTAATTATTTATTCTTGTAGTCGAGATCCATCTCGAACTTTAACGAAAACTACATCAGTTATGATGAAAATCATCAGAACCAGCTTAGTTCAGATGCAAGTTGGTGCAGACCGCCTTAAAAATTTGGAAAATGCAGCCAAACTCATTGCAGATGCCAAAAAACTAGGAGCCCAATTGGTGGCCCTTCCTGAATGCTTCAACTCACCGTATGGAACAAACTTTTTCCATGAATATGCTGAAACAATCCCGAACGGGCCAACTTCTAATATGTTATCTGAAGCTGCTAGAGAAAATTCGGTATATTTAGTAGGCGGTACATTTCCAGAGATAGAAAACAACAAATATTACAACACCTGTACCGTTTGGAATCCGCATGGAAAGCTAATTGCCAAATTTAAAAAAATGCATTTATTTGATATTGATATTCCTGGAAAAATAACATTTAAAGAGTCCGATATTTTGAGCCCTGGTAGTGACTTGGTGACATTTGATGTGGAGGGTGTGAAAGTAGGACTAGGAATATGCTATGATTTGAGGTTTGAAGAACTAGCAAAACTGTATAGATTGCAAGGATGCAAAGTTCTAATTTTCCCAGGTAAGATAATGGAGATTGATATCAGCAATGATACAGATGTAAGAAATATAGAAATGATAAAAGAATCTGGCATCGGCTCATATGGCACTTTTGATTGAACAACAAAATTGTCACAATATATACCTAGTATAAAGCACCTCTGATTCAAAGTCTTATTGGTATTGTAATCCATATAACTAAGTATTCAATCAACACCATACAAATGATGGTATTTTGTAATGTGTACACTATCATTATAGATAAATGTAATTTTAGAAGATTGTGTTGTGTTAGGCTATGAAGGTTAATTCCATAGAAATATACTCTAAATTCAATTCACAATGGCACATTATTATGTGTACATATTCGGCATAGTAACAACTAGAGTTCCTAAATGTACTTGACACTGCTGTTTTGACGTTTTTTGTATATTTATATTATATGATTTCTTCTGATCTATGATATCAGGAATGGTTCATGACTGTTTATGGGGAGGGTGGGGGTATTTCATGAGACATTTAATTTTCCACTTCATATATTATATAAACAGTTATGAAACATTCGTGATATGTATATCATTTTGTACATGAGTTACATGAATTCTAAGCTTTCAAATTGTCATCACCCTATATAGTATATACAAGGTGTTTCTAAAATAGGTGGTCAAATTTTAGGAGCATATAGAGTGGGTGAAATAATTACGAAAACCTCTGTAACATTTTTTTCTGAAGTGACCCCCAAGAAAGATACAGCCCCTCAAATGGGGGCCTCGGAGAATGATTTTGTATTATTATCTCTAACACCTTGTATAATGAAAATCTGAAATTTTGTCTATCTGCTTACTATTAAGTGCCGGTTCGAATGGGGTTAAAATCACCTCAAAATAAAATACAGGGGTGTCTCAAAATAGGGAGGTAGGGGGTAAAAATAACCCTAACTTTTTTGTTCATCGCAATTTCAGTTTTTTGACATGAAATTATGAAATCTCAGAGCTATTTACATGAAAAAGGTGCTCTTGTTGCATCTCGATAAAATTAACTATTAGCGAATAAAATTTAAAAAAGCTTGTTATTAACAATATTTTTCATTTTAGTATTTTCAATAGGATCAGACCATAATCACGAAACTCGTCGTCTATTGTTAATTCATCAATTCCGACAATGAATTCAAAATTTCCAACCCCAAAAACCCTTACAAACCAATTTTGAATCGAATCGAACCATAATCACAAATCTGGTCAGCCACATTGGAGCCGCCCTATTTTTTTCTATCAAAAAGTCCATTACGCGTTGTCAACTGTCATCTGCCAGATTCCAAGTTGATCAGACGATTAGAAGTAGGTGAAAATTCAGTTGCAAGATTTGAACTAGATGATTAAACTAAAGTGCATACCAAAATTGCAATTTAAATGAAATCTTGGAAAGATAAATTTTATTCGCTAATGGTTCAGTTTATCGAGATCCAACAAGAGCTCCTTTTCTATGTTGATAGCCCTGAGATTTCATAATTTCATGTAAAAAAACTGAAATTGCGATGAACAAAAAAGTTGGGGTTATTTTTACCCCCTACCTCCCTGTTTTGACACACCCCTGTATTTAATTTTGAGGTGATTTTAACTCCATTCGAACCGGCACTGAATAGTTAGTGGATAAACAAAATTTTAGATTTTCATCATACAAGGTGTTGGCGATAATAGTACAAAATCATTGTCCGAGGCCCCCCTTTGAGGGGCTGTATCTTTCTTGGGGGGCACTTCAGAAAAAAATATTACCGAGGTTTTCGTAATTACTTCACTCACTCTATATACTCCCAAAGTTTGACCACCTATTTTAGAAACACCTTGTATATGGCAACCGAACATTATTTCAGAGGAAATCATATGAATCCTCATGTTGATGATCAAGATTCATAGTGTGTCGAATAATTGGCCGATTCTAGCCGTTTGTTTTCAAGTTTTCAGTGATTGAGTAAAAATCGAAATTCTGATATTTTCAATATTTGTCTATTCCCATGAATATTGCCTTGTCATTATGGAATGCAATACCCTAGCTGTATGTGATATTATTATCTATTCGAATAGTGGGGTGCATGAGGTAGAAATCAGAGGTGTAGCGTTTATTTCTACTAAAGATTTATCACGTATTTGAGCACATAATTCAAATCGATGCAAAATATTCTAAACAGCAAAAATCGAATGATTGACACCCTGTAACTCGGAAACTGGTCATAGGATCGATCTGTAAATTGGACTGTAATAAGGACGCTAATATCTGAAACATATCAAATTTTCAGGAAAATTGGCCGAAAGCCATTTTCCGTACTAAATGTGCGGGGTCCTTTGCAGACTCGACTATAATAGACAGTTTTTCGACCTTGGTCAGAGATAAGTTAGTGGGTAACTTATCTCTGCCTTGGTACATAAGCAATACCGGGTGTACCACTAAGAAAGGACGCCGGCTGTATCTCGCAATGTATTTGCCGCACAGGTTTCGGAAAAAAATATTTATGATAAAAGTGGCCAAGAAATATCTCTGGAAATTATTTTCAAATTTCCAGGACAGCCGCTAGAGGGCATAATTGCATTGGCCAACTTAAAAAACGGGTTCTTATGAAAATTTCCATGTTCTCGAGTTGATTTCTAATCATTTCGATCGAAAAAAATTGCGCTAGCTCTTTAAATGAAAGAGGAAGGGAAAGCTGAATAGTACTATCGAAAAACTCTTATTACTACAGTTTGGTGAAACGGAATTAAGCGATCTTGGTCTCATCATAGATCTAAGTGTATAATGGTCTCATTCTGAAGGGTTTTTTCAGATCTTCCCGATAAATCACGAATCAAGTCGATTTAAATCCCGTGATGGCCGCTAGATGGCATCGTTTGAAAGATCAGCCGTTTCGCCAATTTCTTTCGAGAATTTCAAATGGAACCATATATTTTTACTGCTATAATATGAAATTTGAGTAAACGAGAAGAAAAATAGTGAAAACCGCGAGTTGAAAATTGTCTGATTTTTCAAACGATGTCATCTAGCGGCAACCACAGGATTTAAATCGTGATTCATCTGAAAAAACAAAAAAAAACCTTCATAATGAGACCAAGATCGTTGAATTCCGTTACACGAAACTGTAGTAATGAGAGTTTTTTCAAAGTACTATTCATCCTTACCTCCCTCTTTTATTTAAAGAGCTAGCGCATATTTTTTGATCGAAATGATTGGAAATCAACTCGAGAACATGAAAAAAGTGTTTTTGATATGTCTTGATATACCAAATTTACATGAAAACCCGTTGATTAAACTGGCCAATGCAATTTCGCCCTCTAGGGGCTGTCCTGGAAACTTGAAAATAATTTCCAGAGATTTTTCTTGGCCACTTTCATCATAAATATTTTTTTCTGTGACAGGAAAAAAGTTTGGCATTTCATCTCTGTTGGCAGGTTATAAAATGTCACTTTTCATTAATTACTTTATTCCCGTGGGAAAAAAGTGACTACTTTTTTCCCTTGTATAATAAATAACTATTTTTCTACAAACGCTTAACGAAGTAGCCTTTGACGCTTTCAAATTCCAGCACAAAGTTGGCGTTTTCCCAGAAATGTCATTCTTTGACAGCATTTGCGCTCGTGAGCGGAAATATTGAAAAAACGCTCGCACATCTCTGTAACCTATACTTATATATATTCTTGAAAACCCCCAATTCTGTCATGATGGAAAATAGTGACAGTGAATCATCAAACACACCTCCTTCCTGATGATATAGCAGAAAGCGCAAGAGTTTGAATCTCTTACCGGAGAAATCAAGGAAGAAATATGAATTACAATATGATACATTCATGAATTTGTGCCACTCCGAGATGGTGAATATGAATTCAGAAAACATTTTACTGGCTTATTTTGGTAAAATATCAAAGACTTTGAAGTCATCAACTCATTGGTCTATATATATTCGATGGTACGTATACATGCTTGAATGTTGAAGATAATATCGGAATCAATAAGTATCTGAAACTTATCGCATTACTCAAGAAACAATCTATTGGTTATGAAGCGAGAAAAATCCAAAACATTCACCGCTGAAGATATATACCAACAAATTTCTAAAGAAGCTCCCGATGAAGCATATCTGATGTTGAAAACGATGAATTTTACTGTATATTCAAACTCTTTGTTGTCATCATAAAGACAGTGTATCTTTATTTTATTGCATCAATGAGTAATGTTCAATTTGATTACAGAGGTCTGAAGCTCAGGTTGCCACGCTGGTGGTCCAGTTTCAACTCTCGGTAGGCCCGACATTTTTTTTCTGGCTTGTCAGTTATTTTTTTTGTTTCCTTTGGACATATGGGATAATAGGAATAAGAACTTTTTCAACTATTTCAATCGCTCATACTTTCAGGGCAGTTATTTCCAAACGCTGCGTCAGTAGAAAAAATCTTAGTGTGTATTTCGAGCACAAAGTGTTATTGCCGCTCTCCAAAGATTACGGGCGGCAATCTATCACTTTGCGCTCTAAATACACAAATAGCTATTTCCGAAACGTGTGCGGCAAATACATTGCGAGATACAGCCGGCGTCCTTTCTTAGTGGTACACCCGGTACATAAATAACTATTTCAGCTGCCTTCAATATGACCACCGGACCCATTCATTTTGAGCTACTCCAGAGAGCAAGGGCTGTGGATAACCAACTTTTCGTTTGCGCTATCAGCCCTGCACGCAATGAATCTGGATACATTGCGTGGGGGCATTCCCAGATCACGAGTCCTTGGGGGAAAGTGATGGTTCAAGCAAAAGACAAAGAAGAAATCATACAAGCCGATATCGATTTAACTGAGTGTGATGATGTCAGACGACAAATTCCGATTTTTTACCAAAGGAGAATTGATCTTTATGATACTATTAAGAAAAAATAGCGATTGGTGTACAAGATGGTTGACCTAGGATATGTCAGCCGTCTTTTTAATATTTTTCTCGAAATCATTTAGGCTTTGGGTGTTTGTTATATTGGGTTCATTCAAATCAATTATCTCTTTTACAACTACGGAACTTGAGAAAAAATAAGGATGAATACATCATCATTTTTTATATGGGTTTAAATATACAGGCTGACTCGAAAAAATGCCGGGAAATGATTTATTTCTTTTAATTTCTGGCTTTTTCACCTCGTCTGCATAAATAAATATTAACATTGTTTCAATACAGGTGAGAGATGATTTGCGCCGAAATGTCAACTTGCCCTAGAAGAGATATCCAACTGAAATAATCATTTACATCTTGTTTGAAAAATGTTTGAGGAAGAATATAAGAAGTATATTGAAAAAATAAAACTTTACATTGGACAGATATTCATTGAAAAACAGGGTGTTGCGAAATTCGACCGACAACGGGTGATAGCCCTCGTGATTTCATAATCACTGAGATAGGGACATATGGTCTTCAAGTGTTCAGTTCTCGAGATAGAGGACGTTGAAGTTAAGAAATTGAAATAGTTTTTTCGCAATATCTGCTCTAGAGAAATTGATATATAATGCATTCAAATTCGGTATATGGTTTCATCATTCAATGGTTCATTTTTTGACCAGAAAGACATTTCGAGAATTTTATCCAGAGGTGCACAGGGGGTTGTGATAACTTTTCCTCCCATATTTTCTACGCCACATGAAATTTCGATTATTTCCAATTTCTCGAATTGATTGTTCAATTATGTTGAGAAAATGCATCACCTTCAACTGAGCTAAAATGAACAGATATCGAGATATTTGATTCAAAATAAAAGTTTGCATAGTAATTTTTCAACTTCCTCAGTAGTAGAAAATGACAAAAATTTTTGTTTTCTCTCCATTCGTGGAATAACTATTTCTGTTTAGCTACAGAATGAGATCTGAGTAGTATCTAATCTACTCAAGCCAAGAAAAATATTTTTGCAATTTTCTACTACTGAAAATGATGAAATATTACTATAATGCAATCATCTATTTTGGGTCGAATATCTCGAAAACTGTTCATTTCAGCTCAGTTGAAGGTGATGCATTTTTTGAACAAAATTGAACAATGAATTCGAGGAAAAGAAATAATCGAAATTCAATCAGTGGCGTAGAAAATATGGGAGTAAAAGTTACCACAACCCTGTAGGGCACCACTGGATGAAATGTCCGGAATGGCTCTCTGGTCAAAAAATCACCAATTCAAAGATGAAACCATCATATACCAATTTTGAGTGCATTCAATTTTTCTAGAGATATTGCGAAAAAACTATTTCAATTTCTCAACTTCAACGTCCTCTATCTCGAGAACTTAACACTTGAAGACCATATGTCCCTATCTCAGTGATTATGAAACCACGAGGGCTATCACCTGTCAAGCGTTGTCGGTCGAATTTCGCAACACCCTATATACATGAATTTCAATGTAAATTTAATGTAATTTTGAATGTATCAATGGTGTAATGCTTTATTCTTAATTAGTGATATAACTGTTATTAGGAATAGTAGAGGTATCTTATATATTGTATTATGTATAAACATATATTTGTTTCAAGATGTTTTGTACTACTTTTAAAGGAGGTTGAATATATTCTATTTTAGCTGAATTTTTGCGCGCAAATCAAGTTTTTATATAAAATAAAAATCTCTATCAGAAACAATTCAAAAAAATATATGGTACCATTTCAATATTTTGACAGTCGCTGATTGTAGAGTTGAAACTGGGAAAAAATATTAGTGCCTCCTTTTGTAGTATTTGAAAAATCTCTACATTGACTTTTTGATAATAATGATGGCACTATAGCTTGGAAATATTGTGTCAGTCACCAGTCAGCCAGTATAATGTACCAGGGGAACTACTAAGAACGGCTGTCGGCGTGATCTGGAGTATCAATCGTGAATTAAAAATGTAATGTATGCATATTATTTCACGATCAAATAGAGAAACTAAATCTCAACAGACCAAAGAAAACTGCAACATGATAGCATTTCGCTAACGGAAGATATTGACGATCAAAGTTGGAAAAAGGATTGATGACCGCCGTTCTTATAGTTGTTCACCCGGTACAGTGCATCCCATTTTGGTTGAGACTGCCAGGTTTCTCGGTTGTTATTGAAGAAAGAGCTTTCCTACTTTTCAAGATACTCAAGATGACCTTATCAGATTTTGCATAACTATTTCCGTTCATTGAGATACAGGGGGAGTTTGCGAATTCATACTTTTTGGACCCCTTCTACAGGGTGTTTCAAAAAAACCTAACCCCCTTGCTAGGGTAGGTAGAACAATGCAAAATAAGTTGGGTTTGCTCAGTAAAAAAATGTCGTAACGCCATCCGTTTTCAAGATACAAGGTGTTGACACAATATTTTTTTACACATTTTTTACGATTATGTTGAAACTACTGGCAACATTGTGATGAAATTTTGTATGGATGTTTCTTGGCATCTGACACATCGCATGCATTTGTTTTTATATCTGACTGTCATAGAGGGCACTAGTTACACGGTTCGTACCGAGTAGTTTTGAACATAACTTTTGTGAGGTTAGATTTTTCAATTCAAATTTGACGTGACCTCAAACATCATTCAATTTCACACCAAAAAGGTACTCTTGGTAAAACTCGATACTGTGTTCTGTTTTCGGAATATTTCGATTTGAAAATGATGAAGTGGTAACTGTTGCTAGTATAAAGAGTGAGTATTATGAAAAATTATCACCTATTTACTGAAAACCGAAAACAATAATACATTTCTGATGCAAAACTCATTGATTTAACAATGAATCACAAGAATAACATCGAAACAGATTTGACTAAGAACATGGATTTCACAGTTTTGTTGTATCTTGATCAGAAAGTCTATGCTATATAGGTAAATTCACGTCAAGAGTTGTGAGACATAATTGAACATCACTTAAATGACCTAACAGCTGATCCTCAACTGTTCAGAAGAATAATACATTCTTAAAAAAAGAATATAGGATCATGTCTGAACACTTACTGTAACTGATTCAATATTTCATGTTTCTAGTCAAATATCTCTTAATTTTATACTTATGATTCTTTGTTCCATCAATAACTTCAGCACAAGAATAATTTTATTGTTTTTGAACCTGAATAAATAAGTAATTGAACTCAATAAAATTCATTTTATACCAGCATCATTACTACTCAATTATTTGCAAATCGAAATATTCCGAAAACGGAACATAGTATCGAGTTTCACCAGGAGTACATTTTTGGTGTAAAATTAAATGATGTTCAAGTTCATATCATATTTGGATTGAAAAATCTAACCCCAAAAAAGTTATGTTCAAAACTACTCGGTACGAACCGTATAACTAGCGCCCTCTATGAGAGTCAGATATTGAAACAAATTCATGGGATGTGTCAGATTTCAAGAAACATCCATACAAATTTTCATTACAATGTTGCCAGTAGTTTTGGAATAATCGTGAGAAATGTGTAAAAAAATAAATTTTTCAACACCTTGTATCATGAAAACGGATGCCGTTACGACATTTTTCCGCAGAACAAACCCAACTTATTTTGCAATGTTCTACCTACCCTAGCAAGGGGGTTAGGTTTTTTTGAAACACCCTGTATATCTATGAAGTTTTAAGGAATAATTTCGCGCTGAGGACTATGTCTAACATAGAATTTTGCGCAGAATCCGGTCAATTTTTTCCAGGGTTTGGTTTTGGAGATAGGAATCACACTTATATTGTATTCTTGATAGAACCTTGTATTTCATTATTTTGTGAAATTCGTTATTTTTCCTTTTTCGAAATTATACATAATACTTCATACATAGGACCTCCAGAAATGCTAAAAAATACTAAAACATTATATTATTATGAAATGATGCTAGTGGACTGTAGATTTTTCATATAAAGGAAGTATAAACTGAAGAATTCTCATCTGTGATTTTTTATAAAGAGATAAGGCGAACATGAGTGCATTTCGTTTTCTTATGTTATTTTCAGGTCTCTGGTTCAGTTACAGAGTTCAGATAAAATGAAATAATATATCACTATAAACACCAGATACCTCATTTCAGAATCGTTCTAAACTGGTCAACATTGATAACGTCGTTGTCCAAAATATAGCCTGAATTTAAAGTAGAATAACTCACGAATTTCCTTACCAATATGAAATCGGAATTCACCGATGATAAGCCTATCTCTTGACAGTTTGTTGCAGTGATATGAAACTTGCTAGAGGGTGATAATTGAATGGGTGTAAAATTACATCGTGGTCGTCTCCTTCCCGTTTGAACAGTTATTTTTTTTAATTTTTTTTCTCACCTGTATCCTCTTGATCGATGTTTTCCCTCGAAACTTTTTCGAAATTTTCAAATTCTGAGCTTTGATAATCGTGTTATGAATATTCATTCAAAATGATGCATTTTTTCGACGATTAATTGTATGAAATTGGAAGTTTGAATTCTTTTTTGAAGAATCAACCTTGAATGTATAGTCGTCGGATATGTGATCGTGCTCGAGCACAGAAAATTCTGAAGTAGTCTATACAAAGTGATACAAGAAATACTGAATGATGGAATGGAGAATAACGTAGTCTTCAGTAGATGAAACATAATTTTTTCTATGTTACTAGTGAAATAATGGAGTGTTACTTCGTCATGAGGATGTTTGGTGTCTGACCTCGAAATGGTTTTGTAATTTCTCGGATCGAAGGTCATATAATGAAGGTACGAATTTTTAATCAAAATGATGAATTTTCGTTAAGATAAATTATAAAATTCAAAAAACTTACGATTGTAGTTCCAGCACTATGAAATTTATATTTATTCTTGACAAAAGATATACAAGGTGCGATAAAAAATATGTCCAGATCATCCCGGGATGAAGAAGCATATGTTTAAACGTGATGAAAATCGCTATGTTCCGAAAAAGAAATAATATAGTGTCGGTCATTGTCGAAAATTGTTAAATGTATAAATACAGTAACTTTTCATGAGGCTTGTATGAGAAAATATGAAAGAGACTGCAGAATTGCCATAGATCCGATCAAATGTTTTTCATACTAATGAAGATAAATACAGTAAGTCCTCATGAGGCTTATACGAGGTAATATGAAAGAGACTTAACATATTAGAATGAAAGTCAATCTAATATGCAATTAGGATTTTTTTGACGTGAGAATAAAATTAAAATAGCAATAATTCTAAGTATGAGTTAGGCGAAATATTTTTATTTTTACAACAGAATTCGTCAATTTTATAGCAGCAGGTGAGATATTATAAATTCCTTATGAATCACCTTGTGAAAAAAATTATGCAGAAATGAACATTCAAGAGTTCTTTTATCTCTATTCAACTCTACACTGTAGGTGCTAGATCAGTATATAAGAGAGTAATAGTAACAAGTATGCACGAATATATGGCGATATTCTGAAGTCTCTCTCATATTACCTCGCGTATAAGCCTCATGAGAACTTACTGTATTTATATTCATTAGTATGAAAAACATGTTATCGATTCTATGGCAATTCTGCAGTGTCTTTCATATTTCCTCGAATAAACCTCAAGAAAAGTTACTGTATTTATACATTTCACAATTTTCGACAATGACCGACACTATATTTCTTTTACGGAACATAGCGATTTTAATCACGTTTAAACATATTCTACTACATCCCGGGAAAATCTGGACATATTTTTTATGGCACCTTGTGTATCCATCGTCAAGAATAAATATAAATTTCATACGCTTCATATCGCTTGGAGCGCACGAAAGGATATCCCAATAATGTTCAAAGAACATCGTGCGTTCCTAGGGAGGATAGGGACAGGAGGTAGGTATTGGAATTTTTTCTGAACTTCTGGAGATTATATATTGTTGGGAATACTTCCTCAGGCAATGAATTCCAGAGCCTAGCCGTTCTATGGATGAAGGTGTTTTGATAAAGTGCTGTTCGACATCTTTCGAGGTTGACAACGAAAGGATGTGCTGACTGGGCTTGTCTAATTCGTCTGACTGGTTTCCGACAAATTACAACACCATTTCGAGGTCAGACACCAGACATCCTCATGACAAAGTAACACTCCATTATTTCACTAGTAAGATAAAGAAAATTATGTTTCATCTACTGGAGACTATATACGTTATTCTCCATTCCATCATTCAGTATTTCTTGTATCACTTTGTATAGACTGCTTCCGAATTTTCTGTGTTCGAACATGATCACATATCCGACGACTATACCCAGCCAACCATCGTGTGACATCAACATCTGTGTGATGTAACAACCTTGCATAAATGCAATATCTCTTTAACACATCTTATCGACGTAGATTCGATATCAACGTCGCAAGGTGTCATCGCAACCAGTAAACTATGTAATGTAGCAGCGACTTCTTCAAACTACATCTCTTCGACGTTAACTAAATAATTCACATTGATATCCTCATGAGATATCTTTGTGACCTATGAGTGTGACGCAGACATGCGCTAAACGAACGCACACGCCAGACGCCATGTTGAGCTGTGCATGGTCACGTCAGTCAGTCAGTCAGTCAGTCAGTGAGTGAGTCCGACTCCGTACAGACTATTTCCTTCCAAATTCTCTGTTGAAATATCTGAATTGATTTATAGCACATATTATAGCAGCTTCAAATTGGAGGTATACAATATCATTTAGGAACGACGGTGAGTTCAATCACAATAGGTAGGTACTATTGTAATTATCTCCGAGATAGGAATATTGCAATGTAAAACAAGGTGGATGAAAGTTCCCAAGATAATGTAAGTGTATTTGATATGTATCATTTATGAATAATGTATATTTCTATTGCTATATATATATGTGTCATGTACGTTTTACTTCAATCAAGATTACTATAATTAGGGTGAATGTCATGATAAGTTTTGTATCATCAATTTTTATTTTCGGAAAATAAACATTTTCTTCGTAAAGTTGCATAATTATTATTTTATTTCCCACGAATATCACAGGTACGGCGACCACATCATCGATGTCGCAGTGTGATGTATTTGTAATATGAAATGTACACTTGTATGTGACCTGGTAGTGATTTTTCATGTGATGTCGCATTTCATGTCTGAACGACGTCACAGTGATGTTGCTTGGGTCGGACATTTTCACATCGCCACGTTGTATCGGTAACATGTTTGTGACTTCAAATGCGATATCGCATGTCACAAAGTGATGTGGTGTATACATCACTTATACATCTCATGGTTGGCTGGGTACATACGAGGTTGATTCTTCGAAAAAGAATTCCAACATCCAATTTCATGCAATTAATCGTCGAAAAAATGTATCATTTTGAACGAATATTCATAACACGATTGTCAAAGCTCAGAATTTGAAAATTCCGAAAATGTTTCGAGGAAAAACATCGATCAAGAGGATACAGGTGAGAAAAAAATTAGAGAACAATATCTGTTCAAACGGTAAGGTGGAGACCACGATGCAATTTTACACCCGTTGAATTATCGCTCTGTAGCAAATGTTATCTGAAATTACAGAAGTTTCATATTGCCACAACAAACTGTCAGGAGATTAGGCTAATCATCGGTGAAAACCGATTTCAAATTGGTGAAGAAATTCGTGTGTTATTTTACTTTGAATTTAGACTATATTTTGGACCTCGACTTTTCAATGTTGACCAGTTTATATTTATATGAAAGAATATATCACTATGGACACCAAATATCTCATTTCAGAATCGTTCTGTAATTTATATGTCAAATTTCCATTTTAATAATATCAGAGTGTCATGAGTTAAGTCACTACATTTCACATTTTTGTCATGTTTTATCAAAATTCATTGTAACAAATCCTGATCAAAAGTGAGTACCTACTACTTCGGACCATATATCTAAGTAAATGATTTGAAGAATGGAATAATCTAATTTGATGGCATTATCAACATTGGAATCAATTCTCCTAACATTTGCAATATTGGGGAGCGTGCACCTTTTGGTAACTGTGCTGGAGAATCTCGAAAACGATGGAAACGATTGCAGCAATATAATGAAGGAATATGCGAGGTACAAATTTTTACGTGAAAGTAATTTAACTGCTTTCAAAGTTACATCACCATATTTTCATTGAATATACATTGAACTGAATTCGGTGTTTTTTTCAAAACCCTTTCTCCTTTCTCTATGCTGAGACCCACACATTTTTGAGATTATTTTAGCATCATTAGAAAAAGAGACAATATATGTAACAGAAGTTTTATTTATCGCCGTGAATATGTAGGCATTTTGGTAGAAGAAGTGGCGAAAACAATATGAATCACAGTAGAGAGGGAGAGTAGGTACTAATATTGTAACAGTTCTTCAGCAATAATGGTACAGGGGTTGTCATATGCAATTAATGATGATTATTGCTAAAGTGATACCAAATGAAATCCATACCCTTCACAAAATTTGGCAAATGAATACAAATTTAAGAACACTGCATATTCAAAAATGTGTCTCTTTAGCTGTGTGTATCATACCTTACAATATAATTTCGTTCTTAATGCTTCTTGATAACTCTTTATTTGGTAGCACTATGGTATTTAACAAAATTGTTTCGGATGGCACACTCACAGAACATCCTGAAAAAAAAGTGAATAGGTAATTTGTATCTCATAGTGGAAGGAGAAGATGGTGTGCCTACGCGCATATTATGTGACGTCATCTGGGATACCCATATCAGCTGGTTGTCACAGACATTACCGTTGCCATGAGCGTGGGCAATGAATTCAATCACGTTTATTGAAATTTCTATGAGTTTCTCGATCTGTTTAGAAATAATTCAATTTATATAAACAGGTACCTATTCCTTCGATTTCACTACTTCATTGAGTCTGGAAATTGTGACGTTGAGGTAATTCGCAATCGCAAATAGCAAAAACATACGAATTTTTATGCATTTCCAATCCCATCTGAATGATCCACTACTGTGTCGATTCTGACAGATTCAAATTCAGCAGTTAACGACGTTGACGTTGCTTCTGCTCCGACATCGACAACAGGAGTACCTATCAATTTTTGCCGTTTTGTTATTCAAATCTTTGCTGCAATTTATATTTTGTGAGAATTTGAGAGTTCTGAATTCATTTTCAATTATTTCTGACTTGATATTCGACGGAAGATGTTCTGTAGGAATGGCATCTTGTTTCAAATATTTGTGATTTTTTGTCAAGAACCGTACCTACTTTCGCAGTTGTTTGGGAAAATTTTGCATGGAAATGTTTTGAAGACATACGTGCTGTAATATGAATGTGGTGATAATATGATAGGATAATACTTTGGAATGAGGATATGAAAAATATAAGGTGGGTACCATTATTTGAGTTTATATTCTGTCGGCAGCAAGCTCCCATTGTTTCATTAGGTCTCCATTCTTGGAAAATCAGAAAAATTCATAATCAGTGCCTTTTGCATGTTAGTTGGAATTTCCATAACCAGAAACGAAACAAGTGGACATTTCGAAATTATTTCATACAATTTTAGTTCTTATATAATATCTGATGAAGTTCGAGACATCAATCACGAAACCAAATAATAGCAATGACAGTTATATCCCAGCTGACGTCATGCGCAGAACAAGACGAGTTTGAGATTTCTGTTGAGCACACCATCTTCTCCTTCCACTATGTTGTATCTGAAGTTTTGTATCACAATATACTAGACTAGAAGTCCTAGTGATCTCACTAACAATTTCATGAACTAAGTTCGTTTCCTCAATTTCCAAGCATCTTGAGATGATAAAAGGCTGGAAATCTTTGAAAATCAATTGAAAACCTTGATCAAATAGATTATATCAGATGCTAATGGAAAATGTTTAGCTATGATTTGTCTAGAGTCAATTACCCATATACTCTCCAGTTTCATGTAAGTTATGATTTTATATCTGAACACCTTCCAATATTCTGAACATTTCCAATTAAAAATTTTTTGGAATGTGAAATCTATTCTGTGACTGGAAAAAATGATGTTGCATTTTACCTAAAATGGTGATTGATGGATTCAACCTGCCATCTTTGTTGAACAACGGTGGATTCTCCATCTTCGCAAATGGTTTGTTAGGGTCAGGATCAGATGGAGTTCCTTCAACTCTAGCCCATCTCCCTACTCTGGAACCTCTTCCAATAATACTATGAAGAATCAAACTATGCTCATCAATGGTTGCTTCAGATAAAATAATGCTTTCTCGTATTCTCACACCTGATCCTACAGTCACACCAGGGCCAATACTCACATTTGGTCCCAACTAAAATAGTTAATTGAATTACTAAGCAGAAGAAAATACTCAGGCAGATATTTATGATCATGATATAGGAACTTTCAAATTACAACTGGCATTTTATTGCATTTTTCATATTTGATTCACACTACAATACATATACAATACAATTCTGAAGAGGTTTTTGTACAACTGTCAAGAAACTCTTTCATGGATATGTGACCCTTTCTCATTCCCCCCTCCCTGATTTTCTGTGAGAAAATAATGTTAGATGGAATCTTTCTGTAGTTGTCAATGAAACAGATAACAAATATACACTAGTAATTACTTTAAATTATATTCTCAAATTTTAAAAGCATGTAATACCATGATGATATTAGATTATACCTAAATAGACCTAAATAAGAAAGGAAATAGCAAAAATTTGAGGTCCTTCAGAAGGTTGATGAAATCATGGAAGTAGATGATGATCTTGCTTACCTACAGCTTCAACAATATGAGGTGGAAAAAAATTTAGAATATGAAAGTTGTGGGGTTTTATCTGTACTATCTTTTGGCACTCCTTAAATAATCAAATAGGAATATTTTGTTCATCTCATCCTGAAGAACAAATCAGAAATATTTGTGTAGAAATAATTGTTGATTGGAGAAGGGAAACCAATTCTTTGTGAGCTGTTAATTTTTTCAGGCAAAATTGAAGTTTTATAAGGGGTTGTACTCTATAACATGTCACCTCATACAACAAATTGCAAATCAGAGGTTTTATATTGTCTTATAGGTAATGCTAAAATTTTCAACTCACAACAGCTGTTGGATGTACTGAAGCTGTGGAATCTATGTGGACATCTGGAAGAATTGAGCAATGTTCACCTGCACCTTCAGAAATAGCAAGACGTTCTGGATGCTTGGTTTTGTAAAGTTGTAAATAGTGCCTATTGGCATAGATAGCTGAGCCAGCAGTCTTCAATTGGGACCACCAGTTACTGGTCTGCATGGCAAACATTCTTCCTGTTCCTGCTAGGGAGGCCAGAATATCTTGTTCAAGTTGAAGGTTGCCTGCTTCTTTGTTTCCATTTCCAATTCTGAATAATTATTATGGTATGATAGAAGATGAATGAATTGGAATTGAATATGTGTGTTTATTTTTAACTTACTTATAATATTCTTCTTGCTTCATGGTGAATATCTCTCCTATAGTTTGAAAAACATCCAATGAGAAAATGTAAATTCCACAATTAATCAGGGTAGAAACATATGAATTAGGTTTTTCCACATAATGGGTAACTTCATGGGATTCTTTATTAGTAACCATACACCCATAATTTAAAGACTGCTGCCTAGTGGCTTCTGTACCCATGATAGTAACCTAAAATGAGTGTTAGTTAAGTTCAATTATTCAATACAATTAGATGATTGGACAATACCAGAGCTTTGGAATTACAACTTGAAGGTAGACTTTTGTGAAAGTTATACAAATCAACAAGTGGAAAGTCTGCACAAACATCACCATTCATCACAAAGAAAGCATCAGGGCTGCCAGAACGAATTTGATCTCTGAAATGGAACAGACCCCCAGCTGTGCCCAGTGCCACAAATTCCTGAAGGTATTTAATTGTTACATTATACTGATGTTGCATATCATTGACAAAAGGCTGAATTTGGGCAACAGAATAAAATCCAATGAGTAAAATTTCTTTCAGGCCTGGAGTTGATGCACATGCTTCTATGTGATGTTGAATCAAGGGCAGTCCACCAACAGGAAATAAAGGTTTGGGGATGTCAAGAGAAAGGGGCCGGAATCTTGTTCCTAGAAGAAAATAATATAATTATGATTTTTCACTTTTCAATGAGACATATGTGATGATACCTTTTTCAGGACCACCTATCAGAATAACAGCTTTGAGCATCATTCTTGAAACTAATTATGTTGGAAATCTCAGCAAAGTATCAAAATACAGTTCTCAAGCACAGCCCACAGCTAACATACAGCCACAGTCTATTATCCTTTACACAGCGTTCCTATGATATTATCACTTATGACACGTAGCAAATCATAAATATGCATTTACAGATAATAAGAAGGTAAACATCATCATATTTCATTACATGAAATCATCACTACATCTTGTTAGTTGTTTACAAACATAACCACATAACCTCAAAGCACTTTCCAAATGACACTTTGAGCAGGCAATCAGGGTTCTCAACAAAATATTAAATATGCCAGTAAAAATTTTAATTCACCGCAGAAGTGTACACACAGCTTGGAATATGAGCACTGTATACACGGAGAATAATGTATTGTTGATTTCACTAGAGTTCCTTGATTTCACATATCGCCGTCGACCTACTACACTTATAAAAAACTTCCATTATTCGCAGAAATGAGGAAAGAATGTAGCGTACAGGGTGATTCACCTTAAATGTCCCCTCATCTAGCTCATTTATTTTTGAACGTGTTTCGAACCGATCCCAGAATTTGGAGAATCATTTGAAAAGATTTTTGAAAATATTTTTCCGCTATATAAAATAATACAGGGTGTTCGGAACAAACGATCTACAGGGTACTACACGTTTTTCAATTCTAGTTCAAAAAGTGGTCAATTGTATTTCCAAATTGTCATTTGGATTTCAAAAAGCATATCATTCGTATTTCAAATTATATAGTCAATTCAATTTCGAAAATCATCAACTGTATTTCAAAATTATCAAATTAATTTCAAAAACTAACACTTTAAATTCCAAAATGGTAATTTGTATTCCAAAGTATATCAAATGTATTTCATAATGCATCATTTGAATTTCAAATCTAAAAGAGCACAGGCAATATATGGTTTATATAGATTGGCGTTATATATAGGTGATATTTCCATTCATTATGTTATTGGAACGCTTCTCTGGCTTCTGGTTCCTTGTCATTGCGTGGCATCATCAATAAAAACGATTAGTTTTTAAATTGAAATGTTGGATTTTGGAATTAAAATAGAATATTTCGAAACTAAAATGACCGATTTGAAATACATTCGACGCATTTTGGAATTGAATTGATAATTCTTATACTTTCTGAAATTAAAATGAACGCTGTTGATTATTCACGATGAACTGAGGTAAATCGAACAGATAGAGCGTCCATGAACTTTTTTGTGAAAAAAATAACAAATAAATAAATTTTTTCGAATCCTATAATACTCTAATAAGAATAATATTTTCAAAGTAAATTTGACATTGCCTCTTCCACTACTTAACTATTTTATCCCTCATTTCATTATCGAATCAGAAACCAACCGGTACAAACGTTTTTCTGAATTTTCATTTGAAAGCCCTAAAATCGGAGTGTAAACTCCTCGCTGGACCACCCTGTATAAGCTCACAGAGGTGAGCTAGATAGATAAGTACGTATCAAGTTCGTTTGTTACGAAGGAATGCGATTATAGTTTGAATTTCTCAAAATCCCAATAATTATATAGATAGGTTTAGGTATATATTGTTAGTATATTATATGATTTATATGTACATAATATAATCTTAGTAGTTTCATGAATAAAAAGTATACCGGGTGCTCTATTCAAGACTATCCACCGTCGATAAATATTTTTTTCGAAATCACTTTGAAAAACTGCCATGAGAATGTGAAATTCCTATTTGAATATTCTCATGAATAAAGAAGTTACGGAGGAGACATGAAAATGATCAAAATCTGTTTTTTTGCGTATAAAACAAAAACAAATAGATTTTATCAAAATATTTTTTCACATTATAGTTGGCCTTGACAAACTCCACATTTGGTGTCATTTAACCGACCTCGTATCTCTCACCGTTAAAAAAGATACCCATGGTGAGCATGGTAAAAGTGGGACACACTGTATATTCATAGAATGTTCCGAGAATTTTCTGAAAAATATTATGAGAACGTCCTTGGAGCGTGAATTTTCGTCCCATTCGTATGTTCTTTGGATATCCTCAGAACTTCAGTACACCTGCTTGTGAGAATATTCTGAGAATATTCGAAACCTTCCACGGCAATACTCTAAGAACGATCAGTTTGTGCTGTCTGGGTATAGATAATAAAAGTGATATCAAATAGTCTCTCTCCTGATGGTCAAACTGAATGTGCCATTTTTTGTCTCATCCTTGCTGAATTGTATATATTTAATAATATATGCATGACCTCAATTCGATTTACTGAATTCGAATCATAGGAATAACAATTCAAATATAAATAAGGAGTTAAATGGATTTGGGTTGCACGGTATACTTAGTTGGTAGATACAGTGAAAGTGCAACAATGGTTTCAATAAATAAATAAAATTTTAATTAATAAATAATAAACCTACAATGAAATTGATCTAGAGGTAAAAGTTGGTATTATTTACAATAAGTAATCGGTATTAGCTACAATTATTTTCACCTATTTGCATGCTGAAAATATCGCATATTTGGATTATTCAACAATTTATTATAGAGATTGTACGATTCGATTTTATCCAGATCCAGATCACTGTTGATTCTGCCAACTCGATCATCCCATCCATTCCATCCAGATCCAGGACTGGAGTGGCCCACGTGATATTCTCCGTCCTTGTTCTGGTGGACATGGAAATGAACATTTTGTGGATGGTTCGAATCATGCCCCTTTTTTTGCGCGAAAGCAGCAACTACTTTCGCAACTATGCCGCTAGTGTTGATGAGTAGTAGCAGTCCCACCATTCCTAGGGTTTTGAGGGAGAATAAAGTGAGGAAGCCTAGAAGTGTCATGATGACTCCCATGAGGAAGATTGCAATCGGCATGATGGCTCGAATCTTCTTAGCTATACCAAAACACCTTCCTGCAAATAAAGTTCAAAATTACTATACACAGGAAGGCACACTCGAAAAGATTGAGAAGATCACCATATGGATGAACAAATAAACTTATTATAAGATATAGGTACTATACAGGCTATTCCAGAGTTATAGTTATAAAAGCCTAAGCAATAATCCGCTCAGCAAAATATAGAAAAGAAGTTTATATACAGGGTCGTGTCCCAAGAAACCCATTTCTGGTGAAATTGTAAGTGAACGAAGAGTCAGACCAAATTTCATTCTGATACACCTCTAATATTCTAGAAGATATAAGACTTGTCTAATAGATTCGTCGACACTCGTTAGAGATTTTAAACTAAATTGTGTGTCGTAGCTAATACTTTTGTCACCCATCATTTTTGAAACCGAAAGGAAAATTGAAAATCGTTCCGAACTGTCCCTCACGACAATTCCACAAAAGATGACAGGTTTTTTATTGCATTATATATTATATAATGTATTGACTGGATTTTCTTCAGAAGTACGGTATGGTAGTCGGAAGGTATTCAAAATGTTCTCTGATGATTGGTGACTTACCCATGAAGGTTTCTTCATTTTGATTTCCTTCCCAATATTTGGAGACTACATTTCTTAGAACTTTGCCGATTGAACTGATTAACTCTATTCTACTATCGGTAGCTTTAACCATATCGGTAGTAGTGTCATTATCTGCCAATGCACCTTGGTATATCAATATCATGAGTACTGAACCCACTAAACAATATGTCCTCATTTTTTCGTTTTCGATGACATAATAACATTCCTGAAATTATCTGAAACTGAAAGAGAAATAGATAAGTAACATTTTCTACATGAAAGTTATTCTTACTCCAAGGGCGGACTGGGATAAGGAAAACCCTATAGAGGGCTTCGTGGATGAGAAGGCGCGAAATCAAACAATCCGAATAAAATGTTTGTCTGATGATATGAATATAATCTCATATATTCATTCTTGTTGGAAGATAATAAACAAAAGAAGGGCCGCAAACAACTGTTCTGGTCAAGATCAATTGGATTCGAATCATTGTAGATTAGGGATTTCTGGGTATGGGCAGCTAGATATACAAATGCAAAACAGGTGGTATCAACATAAAATGAAAATAAAAACTAAATTGAAAGGAATATCTTATCCCATAAAGAGAAATCATTCAATATTGGAGGGAGGTGAAGAAAACGATACATTTTTTCCATCCGTGGGTTATTAAATGAATATATTATTTTGAAAACAGATGTGAAATCTGAATAATGAAAATATTTTTTCAGTCACGCAGACCTGAGTTTTTGTGACCTCTAACAGATCGAGTATCAACTACCAATTTGATTTACTATAGGTAAAACATATACTGGGTGATTCAAATTCGAAGGCCTCCAACGAGTAACGCCAGTAAAAATAAAAATGTTTTTCTTATATCTTATATCTCCGGAAATAACTCGGAATTTGAGAATTTTCTCGGCGGCATATTTTTAGTGACAGAAATGCCAAACTTTGGCCTAATTTACCATCTCCGTATCTCTCATAGTTACCGAGATCCCAATGGTGGCTCTCGAATTTGATTTACCCGGTATATGCGCGGCAGGCGAAAATTTTGAATTTCTCAAATTTGAATGCCTGAAACCAGCAAGTTGTATACTCGTACATTGAGTATATATTGTTTAACGAGCACGGAATGATAGTCATTTCTCACGAGAATGACGAGTGGGAAATCAGCATTCCGTGCGAGTTATACACTATACTTTTTCTACAGTTGTAACATGCAGATAACAACGAAATTATAGATTTTTTCGGCTTGTAGCCAAATGATTGTCTCTCAAGTGATGCTCATCTATTAGACAGAGCTGTCATTGCATGAAATTTGACATTTCACGGAAGATATGAGATTTTGTGAATTAATAACACAATGAAGACATTGTGATAACATCAGATTCGGATGTAAAATTGATGACATATAAAGTACCTCATTGATTCATCGAACATGGTGAATTATTTTATAGCCGTAGTAAAACATTTTGTAAACATCAGGTTTCGTTCAATATTTTCTTCGCTGGTTAAAATGTCGATGTTATCTTC